TGCCCCAACCTACAGCCATCACTGGGCCATCTACAATCTCAAGAGTTACTAAAAGTGTGGCTGTTCTAGCCAGAGACCAGATAAGCCATCCACTAACTCCCTGCCCTCATAGGAAAACTCAATACAGCCAGATCCATCAATACTTGACCTGTTGTCTTGCCACTGAAGCACAACAGGGCTTGGATTCCACGGGCCACATCGAGGTACTTTCGTAGAGTCCCGAGTCTCACTGGACATCTCAGGTCAAAGAAAAACTCTTCTTGCTGACATGAAGACCATATATAGTCTTCTTCTTGCATTCTTTATAGTAGCTCTACAGTCTCCATAGTGGGTGATGACCTCTTCAGACAGGCCCATTCCTTGACTTCAAACAGTTCTTCGCTCATAATTTTCTCGTGATTCCAACCTGTGCCATACCTTTCGTGGGAGGAGACCTCCTCCAAAAACTACACTTATCTCTCACCTCTTTCTCCCTCTACCATATACATCCTACAAACCCAATCTCAGTGTACATCCGGCTCATCCCTTGCGGACCATATACTCTGAGACACTTCCAGTCCCACTTGTGCCATACATGCTGTTCCTAGACTGATGTGGCTCAGAGATCCCGCAGCATTTCCCTACATTCCCCAATACCTGATAGCCCCCAAACATCAAGAGACTCCAGCCCATATGCTTTCTTGATCACTCCCTTACAGATTGCCAGGACCTCTTTGCCTTCACATGGACTGATCTCATTCTCGATCTCGGTAGCTCACATGGACAGTCCTGCCTCAGGGGTTCAGAGATAGGCCTTACTTCTTTAGCCAAGCCCTTGCTGCTGATCTTAAAACCCTTGATCTCAAGCCCAGCCTGCATCAATATATCAGTACTCCTCCTCTTCAACACAGTCATGGTTTCTTCAGTCTCCAATGGGAGTCATCAGTAACGATAAACCTCTAGTCCTAGCTGACACACCTGGCACTAACTGCTGCATGGGTGTGAACTGTTGGCCTATCAACCCTCCTCGTCCCACAACCCTCAGACTCAGCCCACTTAAACTCATGTATGACAGGCTGCATCTCTTCCAGACCCCTCTCACCTAGCCTAGTCTTCTCATCAACTACCTTCCCACTCTTCCCTCAATGCAACCTCCTTCAATCTCATGCAGACCAGAGCCTACCTAACCCTGATCACACCTCAGTGCCTCTGCAGTTCCAACCAGGAGACAAAGTCCTCCTGAAAGGCCTCTCCACACAGCTCTGCAACCCCACTGGTCTGGGCCCTTACAGTGATCCTCAGCACCCCTGCTGTGGCCAAGCTGTTGGAAAAGTCCTCATGAGTCTATCTCATCGCACTCAAACGTCCCCACCAGATGCTACTCTAACGAGCCCACCCTCAGCATGGGTAAGTCTAACTGCACAGGCATCAACTTGTCCCCTACTAAACTTAGGTTCTCTGAAGCTCCCCTTTCCAAGATCTCAGCATGACTTTCCCCTCCTTCATCAATTACTTCTTTCCTGAGTTTTCATTCCTCCATGGAAACCTCCCCCTCCACAGGCAACTGGGTCTTTACAATTTATGGTCCTCAACATCAGATCATCAATACCTCTGCCTGCAAGAGGCCTTAAAACCAAAAAGCTTTATCTTGTTCAGTGGGCAGATGACTCTAGGTAAATTTTTTAAAGTAGGGATTACATTAATATTTTGAAATCCTTACTCTAGATAAGTGTATCTTATTTTTCCCCCTTTGTATATTTATTTACCTTGGGAAGGAGCTCTTAGGGTGGAAGGAGGGGTAGTTCGCTATCTCTTTAGCTAGCAGAACAGTGTGTCTTTGGTCCTCACACTTCCTATCTTGTGGACACAGTAGCCACGCTTCCTGAGGAGGTTAGGGCTGGGTTCGAGCCCTCTTGCCCTTTATTGAGCTTAATGGCAACTGTGGACTTCATCATCTGCTGCTTTGAGTGAACCAGAGAAATAGCCCTTTGCAGCATGAGAAAGCCCCAAAGCGCTGAGTTTATACCTCCTCATCAACAAAAACTCAGTATTTCTTAGCTTTAGAATGCGTTATCTAAGTTTTGACCATACTTCAGCTTTGAACAGGAACTGTTCCATACAGACACTAGTACTTTTTGAACTTAGTAAAGATTCTAAAATGCATGTTTTATACTGTTAAGTTTCAACCAGTCAGGAATATTTTATGTAAATGAGCTTTTTTTGGTATGTTATTCAGGCTGCAATGTTTTGATAACTCTAATTTGTACTATCTCAAGTTCATTACTATGTGTAATGGCACCCTTGCCAAGATATTTAGCATGGAAAAAGCAGGTTCTGAGTTTTTGTTTTAAACTGCTTCATATTGAAGCTGAAACTTATGAACAAGTTGAGTGGCAGACCTGGCATGTTGTATCTTGTTACATAAAGCTAATCCTCTTTCCTTCGCCTCTGCCTTCCTCTCCTACAGCCACCCCTTCTCCACTCACCAGCTCTTGCCCTACTCTCTAGCCAGCCTTCTCCAACTGTCCCACCCCTTGAATGTCACTGTTTCGATTGACCTCTGTCTTCTTTCCAAGCAAGAATTGGTGCTTTTGCTGAGAAGACAAAATGGACATGGTGACAATGAAAATGTTTTCTCCCAGGGTTTAGTTGATGTATTAATAAAGGTTCCAGTGTGCATGATATATCCTTTTAGGTTCAACTTAAAGAGTAACCTTTGCCTGAAAAGAGAAGTCACTATAATTTGAAGTAACAATGTCCTAATTAAGTTCATTCTGGAATCTGTCAGTTAGCTCTGGCCAATTGGTCCACCCCATATCCAACTCTTCCAAGCCGCTCCCTGAATAATCACCACACAGAGCCTGCAGGGCAAAGAGCAGTGCTTACCAGGTTTAGAAACTATCTCTCTGCTATTCAGTCCTGCAGTCTGCTCCACTTCAGCCCTCCAATCACCGTGCATCCTTCCAGGAGCTAAGTCTACTCTATACTCTGCTCTCATACCTGTATTGTCAGTTGGAAAGTCTTTCAAAGTTCATCCCTGTCTCCCAAGTCACCACAGCCACAACTTACCACCTTGTTTAAAGACAGGGTCTCGCCATGTAGCTCAGGCTGACCTTGAACTACACAGCCCAGGCAGGCCTCAAAGTTGCAGGGTTCTGCCTCGAGTGCCAAGTTACAGGAATGCACCACTATGCCTGATGTCATTTCTTGCCTCAATTATTTCAATTGTTGAACTGCTGTCTCTGCTCCTGTCTTTTATTTTCTAGGGACAGCTGAAGTAAAGCTTTGCAAATAGATCTTCTCACTCCTTTGCTCTAAGCCTCCAATGCTGCAGAGCAACAGGTGTGTGGTGATGTTGAAGGCTTTCTACATCTGACCCTTAGTCCCCTGCCTGCACCTCCCTCTTACAGAGACTGACAGGTATCACAGCAGACAGAATCCACAGAGCTGCACATGCACTACGACTCCGCTGCCATCAAACAAACTGCTCAACAGCACTACTTCCCAGGCTGGCTGTTCAGGATTCAAAATTGAAAAGGCATCAAGATCTTCACAGGGCATTAATTAAATATAAAAGATTGCTTTGTGCACTTAAAATGCCAAACACAAAATAGACTTACCCATATTCTTTACAAAGTCCTTAATGTGAAAATCAACTTTCAGTATGTATAGGACATTATGGGCGTAAACTAGTGTAATTCTCAGGGCCACCCTAGAGATGTGTTTGGAGACTCCCCCATGAGGACATCACTTAACCAAAGTCACACTGAGTTAAAGAGGAGGCTGAAATACATTCAAGTCCACTACCTAAAGCTATGAACATTAGTAACACCTTTGAAGACCCTACAGAGAAGTATGTTTCTGACAAGGAACCAAGCATTATTGAAGATCACGAAACATCAAACCACTGTCTAATTTCACTGATAAGATAAACAAAGAGGGGCTGGTGAGATGGCTCAGTGGTCTAAAGCACCTACTTAGAACAAGCTTAGCAAAGCACAGGGACCGCGGTTCAATTCCCCAGCACCACATGCCAGCCAGCCCCGCCCCCTGGTGGGCTGAGCTGGCCACACACACACACACACACACACACACACACACACACATATATATAAATAAAATTTTAAAAAAAAAGATAAACAAAGAGTTCCAAAGACATGAAATGGCTTCTGGCTCATCTTTCCACCAATTTCCTCTGGTTACATCAAGTTTAAAGATTGTGAAAAATGCTGTGAAGAGATAGAATTTTTGGAGTGGCATTTACAGCAAACCACAAATGGCAAGAACTAGAATGGCACTGCAAGTTTAAAATCCTAAATTTGCACACAAGTAGCAATTATCCTTTTAGGTCTAATCCTTGACACAATCTTGAAATAGTTTGGAATGCTTTGTTGTTCAACTGGTTGAGAAATGTTGTTCAGCCACATTGAGGGCTGCAGGAAAGGGGCGGTGGGAACAGGTGCTAGAAGAGTTGATGTGATGCTATTCTGTTGTCATCAAGTGGCACAAGGGCCAGGTACAGAATGACTAAGCACACTGACCAGAGAAGCTTCAGAGCTGATGGCAGTAGACAGAGGTCACGCTGGCACAGTAAGATCTACCTCCACCAGAGTGAGTTCACACCTGTCTCTGCCGGCAGGATAAGCCCTGCTAGGTAACCGCAGCCTTCTTCCCAATGAGATTGTTCCCAGACCTGCAACCCTCATCCCTAAGGCTGACACCACTGTACAGCCAAGCTTTGGCAGGAGGCAAAATATCTGTTTTCTCTCACTGAGCTGAATAGCAAGAAACACCTGAAGTTGAAGCTACTCTCCTTCTGTCTTACTACAAAACTTTGTTTCTGTTATTCTACGTTTCCAAGTAAACCTGATCTTGTTAACTAAGGGAATAAGCAAATTCTGTAGGAGACAGATAAGTACTTTAGCTTCTGAGGGCTGCATGGACTCTGTCACAATTCAATTCTGCTGCCATGGTGAGATTAGCCAAAGAAATAATATATAAACAAGTGAAGCTATGTTCCAATAAAATTTTATTTATCAACATTGAAATCTGAATTTCATATACTTATCTCATGCTACAAAATACTTATTCAACCTTCTAAAAAACATTTTTTTTTTAAATCCTTTTAAAACTGTTTTTAGCTCACAGGACGTACAAAAAGACAGTGGATGGACTGGCCCACTGACCAGTTTGCTGACTCCTGGGCTAGAGCTGAGACTTTTCTTTTGCTTACTCTTCAACATGCAGAATATGACCTGTTACCTGAATAGGCCATAGTGGTAGTACTACATTATTTCAGCTGAATTATTATTTTTATAGTACTCACTTTAACCATTCATTTGGCACCTATTCAGACATGGGTTCTGTGCAAGATCCTTCCCTGGAACACTGAAGGATTATCAAGACATGGCTCTTCCGTAAAGTTCTAATACCATCTTCTCAGATCCTGACACTATGCTTCTCATAGTATCAGAAAAGACAGCCAAAAGTGCATTTAAATAGCAGAGATGTTGTATGAAACACTTGCATGAAATTCCAAGGGCTGCTGTAACAACTTACTACAAACTGGATGGCTTGCAACAATAGAAATTCACCTTTTCACACCCTAGAGAACAAAAGTGAGAACTCAAAACATCAGTCAGATTGGTTCTGAGTGTTCTGTGGAAGACTTCAGGACGCTCCCTTCTGCTTGTGGCTCCAGCAATTAGCCTTCCTTGGCTCGTAGACACAGTGCTTGCCTCGCCTGCCATCCTCCATGGTTTCTGCTCTGTATGGTTTCCTTTCTTTGCTAAGGAACTGTCATTGGATCTATGGTCCACCTGAGTCCCAAATGTCACCTCCAGCTCCTGAATGTCACCTAGAAATAAGGTCACATGTACAGGTTCCAAACACAAGTCAACTTATTACAATTCTCTTAGATATGCAGAAAGCATGGTCAACATTATCCAGAAAACTTCTTGAAAGAGGTAACATAAACTGATCCCTGAAAGTTGACAGTTGGTGTTCATCAGACAGGTAGGAGAAAGAGGAAGTCAGATGCAGTTTCCAGTGAGATCAGTTATGGAAGCAACACCACACGAATAAACAAGCTGTGCACAGCATGCCATCAAGCTCGGCTGGAGACACGGTGTGCAACAGGAGCACAGGGAGAAGGCGGCACGAGGTGGCACAATTTGATCAGTAAGGGCTGGTTGCCATGACCTGGCACTAGGAGCAGAGAAGGCCGTGGGCAGGCTCAGGGATTCTCCTCCCTCCGTGGCCAACCAGCACACGTGTGCCATCCCTCAGGTGCTCTTGTCACTGAGCTGCTGGCATGGCTGGATCAGGCAGTCTTCACGCAGCTTCTCCTTAAATTTAGATTTCACGATTTAGGGTTCAAGACCTTAAAGCACAAACACAGCAGTTTTCTCCCCACTGGTGATTCATGGCCTTCTGTTCTCTTCTTGGAAGTCCCTCTCCTGCTCATGCCCCTATCAACTTTCAGGGCTGCTCTTCCTGCCACACCACTTTGCTTTACATTGTTGCCCTTTCACTCCTGAAACTGAGAATTCAAGCAAGTTGGTTTTTACCCACCACTGTGTCTACACAACAGTAAATTACAAATAAAGTCAGGTCAATATCCCTGGTCTTATTATATACAGCAAAATATTAAAAGCAATTAAAATTATTTACATAGATAATGGGAGAAAAAATACCATGGAAAAGAACACTGCTATCTATTCTCTGAAAAAAGGAGAAATTATGTAATGTTTTTATGCATTCCATAAAAATATACACAATGGACACCTAAGAAGCCTAAAAACAAAACATCAGTAAACAAGCCACACTTAGAAAAATGAAAGCTGATTTTTATTTTATCATCAACAGCCATTCTTTAAACATGAACTTTATTTATTTATTTATTTTTAAATGAAAGCTGATTTTTATTTTATCATCAACAGCCATTCTTTAAACATGAACATGCATACGTAATATTCTACGCACACATCACAGTTTTTAACGTTAGTTAATAAAGGTTAAACACACAACATACATCCTTACAAAAAAGGTCAAAATGCAAACTTAAAACTTTAAACAAAAGTCTTACTAATTTAAAAAAAGTTTGTGTTGGGTACCATTTGTACAACACATTTAATTTAAACATTTTCATTTTGGTTGCACATGAAAAAAGCGGCAGTAGAAAATAAAGTCATTGAGGATTTTTAAATAGCAGAATAGGCAGTCTTGCCATGCAGGAGAAGCAATATTAAATATTAGTTTTCAAAAAAAATCCACATTTAAAAATATTTAGTTCAAGTCACGGAATTGTTCTCAGTAGAGACCCTAATGCAATGCATAATTAGCTGCCTTAGATGGCCTGTCTGAAAGGACATTCTCCCTTCAGAGTGTAACTGTACTGATTTTGGCACAGAAAAGAAGTCAAGAACATGATTAAAAAAGAGGGAAGAGGAACAGAGGAAAGGAATAAAAGCAAGAGTAAATGAGATAGTAATTGCAATCCCTAAAAAACTGTGCATTCTCAGTCACTGCAGAACACTGTCTTCTCGCTACGGCAGGTGCTTACTCCAGAGCTGTTATTGCAGCATGGATTTGATCTGCTTGGAGGTAGTCTCGTCATTCAAATGTTTTGTCGTGTACCTAAAAGACAAACAGCGATCGAGTTGAGGGAATTAAAATCTGCACCGGGTTCTGCAATTAGGGCAGACGAGCCACTGGCCAGGCAAATCTCGCACAGTGAGCTGGCTTCTCTCTGCAGCTCTACCCCAGAAGGCCCACACAGCTCATCCTCCCGCCTATGAGACCAGCAGCTGCGCGTTTGCTTAGTTGTAACTACCTTACTGAAACCACAGGCTACATCTCACATTAACAAGCAGTTACCTCTCACGAAAAAGTAACTAATCCACCCAAGAAGCCAGCCATATATATCTGAATGGCAGAGTTAAGTAGCTGTAACACAGACCATGTGCCCCACAAAGCCTAAACATTTACTTATTTTCTGGTCCCTTATGGCTCTGTATTTAAAAGGTTCTACTACTATCATCCACATCCCTAAAAAAATCTCAGTTCTTTAAGTGCCTTAAACTTCCAGGCAGGTATATTTTGCTCATGAATGCGATCTAAGCTAAGAATCCAAAATAAACACTCTAATAACAGAATGAGTATGAGGATGCACCATGAATTCCTTCAAATAGCAGAACTCCAATAAGCAAGCCCGTGTGTCAGCCCAGCACTGTTCTAGAAGCTTCCTACCTAGCAGAGGGAGAAACATAACGAGGCATTAACCTTACAGAAGGGATAACCCAAGAGCAAAAGGACAGTACTATATGAGGCCATAGTGACAGGAGAAAAACAGCTCAAGTGGACAGCTGGAAGTCACAGTACCCGGCAATTACATGTGATGAAAGCTGCTGGAGGAGATAAAGCAAGGCAGTGCTGCAATTATGCTTTAGAGGATCATTCAGGCTGTTGGGGAAGTATAGTGGAGAGTAGGAGAACCGTCAGGGAGCATCCACTGAGAACCAAGGGAGACATGCCCAAGGCTTCGGACCAGATTAGTAGCGATGCTCAGCTGTGAGACATATTTCAGAGATAATTCAGAAATTCATTTAGTTTACAAGAATTTTTTTTTTTTTCAGTACTGGGAATTAAACTCAGCCTTCTGTGTGTTAGTTGAGTGCTGTAGCACTCAGCCAAATGTTCAGCCCCATTTTAAATTTTAAGGCATAGCCTGGCTACATATAACCCTCAGCGTCTGGAGTAGGCAGAATGACAAGCAACACCATGCCTGGCTACTTAACATATAATCTCCATGGACTATAGCATTTTAAGGAGTAATGATCTTTCCGCATTAAAGAAATTTAAACTGTTAGGTTCATTTCAAATAAATTTTAAAAATTAAGTTATAAAATTTGCCTGTACTCAAGTACATCTTTGGGCAAGCAAAGAAACACACATAAGCCAAGTGTGGTGATATAAAGCTGTCATCCCAGCACTTAGGGAGGCTGAGATAAGAAAATCAAAAGTTTGAGTCCAGCCTGGGAAAGCAATTTACCAAGACTTGGTCTCGAACTATAAAATGAAAAGGAGCAAGGCAGGGAGGGAGGGAGGGAGGAAGGGAAGGAGGGAGGGAGGGAAGAAAGGGCATGAGAAGGCTGCGGGTATAGCTTAGCACAGTGGTGGTGAATCTATGACACGCGTGCAGTTAGCTGTTTGTATCTCTGATTGGCATCACTGGCTTAGTGAAAAGAGCTGGGATTCAATCTTCAGTTGCAGGAGGAGCGGGACAGAAAGACAGACACACACACTTATTAAGCACCTGATATTACACACTCTCTACAGTGACACTTCCAAAGTGCACGCCTATTAATGAATACACACTGGAATGCTGGCATAAAATAAGTATTTAGCAAATGTTTGTGGAAGGAAGAAAAAGTAGGCTGCCAAGCTGAGAAGAAAAATCCTTAAAGGAATACTTACATAAAGGGCAAAATGATGGGGCAAAGACAGAACTGCTCTGTTTTATCCACATAGCTAACGCATATGTAACTATGTAGCTGATGTCACCTCTTTTTCACCCTGTTCTTTAGCGAAAAGCGCCAAAGAATGTACATGATGAAGTCTCCTGAAGTTAGAAATAATACTGCTCAGCAATGTTCCAGAACAATTAAAGAACTGCAAGTGCATTCCTCTCCCCTGTCTCTCTGCTGTGAGATGCAGACGTGCTTCTAGCAGGTCTTGGAGCCTCCTTGGACACAGTCAATCCAGAGATGGGGCTGTGCTGTGCTAGGGATTGCAGGTCAGTGACAGAGCCTGCCTGAGTTCAGTCCCCAGCACATTCTACGGGGTGGGGGGTAAACACCAGGCCATGGACGGCTGACATAGCCTGACACTATATGGATTTTCAATTAAGTTCTTTAATCCTCATAATGTTCATTTGGAACAGGTCTCTTTACACAGGGAATCTCTGCTTATCATATTTCATAATCTTAATGCTTTGAAGGTTATCATTGAGCTGAAATGACAAGACTACATTTTGCTGTATGACACAAACATGAACTATACAAATATTTTTGTGTTTAAATCGCCAACAGTCAAGAATGGAAAAATCATTTTTTGGATTAGGAAAATTACAGTATCAATTAAATCTCTGGGGCCCGGGAAGATAGCTCAGTAGAATATGTGCTTGCCTGGCAAGCACAGGGTCCCAAGTTCAATCCCCAGTACCACAAAAACAAAAAAAACAAAACAAAACAAAAAATAAAATGTCTGTAGACAATATATTCTAAAATTCTAAGATTCTTCCTTTAAAAATATTTTTTTATCCATAAGAGCTTTAGTAACTACTTGAAGATATAAGAAAATATATCGGAGCCAGGGAGATAGTTCAGTGGAATAAGCACTTGCCTGGCAGGCGCAAGGACCTGAGTTCAATCCCTGGTTCCACCAAAAGAAAAAAAAAAAAAAAGAAAATATATCAAATAATAGTTTCATATTCATTATAAAAATGCACAAAAACAATACAGATCTATACTGATGAACACAGCAATCAGACAACTTTAATAGATTTTTTTTTTTTTTTGCAGTACCAGGGATTGAACTTGGGACCCTAAGCTTGCCAGGCAAGCACTTATTCTCCTGAGCTGTCTCCACAGCCCATAATGGAAAACAGCTAGCTATTATTTCCCGCCCCCCCAAAAAAAAGCTAGTTATAAAACACTTTGTAGGGTACTGCTTTGTAAAAAGATGGCTACTGCTCTGCTATACTATTTCCATGTGTAAAGGAAACGCACTAGGCTATATATGCTAAAATGTCTAAGTGTTTCATATGAATATGGAAAAGACTATATGATTTTTCTTTAAATTCTCCAAGTTGTTCTGAATTTTATTTACAATTACCATTATTTGTTCATTTTATTTTTTTCCTGTACTTTAGGTCTGAGTACGTAGATGGGATTCATAGCAATTCTCCTGCTTTCAGCTCCCCAAATGCTGGGATTACAGGCGCGTGTGACCACACCCAGTCTTAAATGCCATCTCAGAGCACCCCAGGGGTGGGACCAGCAGGGCACACCAGGGATTGAACCTTGCCTGCTGCACTTTGCCTAAGCATGTTTTAGTCCGTCAGCTATTAGGCCAGCCCAATTATTATAAAATAAGCAATCCTATGTCATTAAGAGTAGAAAGTAAACGTGAAATCTTCAGATAAGAAATGAAGCTGCTGTTCTCCTTTGTGAACACACATCTGTTTTAATTTTTAATTCTTTATAAAGAGAGTGTAAATTAGAATTAAAACAGAAGAATTACAAGTACTACAGACTTCTTCAGGACAAAACACTGCAACCACAGCCTGCAAACAGGAGGACACGCAGGACAGATGACCTGACTTCTACCTTGAGCACTTATTGAATCCTTCAGGTGCTACTCACATTTTACAGCATGTTTTCAAACATACAAAAACCCAACATTCTCCTTGCATTTGTTTCCTATGCATAGGTACACACATACCTGAGAGCATTTAGAAGACCTTCTACGCTATTAGGAGGCTGGTCCTTAAGAACTTTGATACAACCTTTCATCTGAGGAAAAAAGAAAATGGAAAAAGTAAAATATCTGCTTTTCATATCACATTAATTTTCAAAACAATGAAATAAAATCAGGACTACAACTACTGAATTTGGAAGGTTACACACTAAAAATATCAAATTATTCATTCTTAGCAATAAAAGAGGAAGGGCTCTAAGTACTACTCCATTTTCCATCTGTCAGTCAAACAAAATGTTTTGAGATCCAAATCAGTCAAAGTATCATCGACACTAATGAAAACCAGGGGGTTTTTTGCTAAGGAGCAGCTTTCTTGTTAAGCAACAACTTAATCATGCTAGCAAGCACAAGAGGAGCTTTCCAGGTGAAAGTAGCCATGGCTTGCAGAGGACTCTGTTCGGGGTGACAGAAGAATTAGAGCTGTGGAAGCCAGGGTGTCTCATCTGATTGGCTATCCAGCCAACAGGGTCTTGTGACAAGCTACCTCTAGAAGGGATAACGCAATAAAGATGGGGAAAATTATTAGGCAGAGTGAAAAAGCAGAGCATGAATAGAAAGAACTGAGCTTTAGAAGCCAGATGTGAAAGTTTAACCTTCTATCCTACCATTTACTACTAATTCTATTACTTAATTTCCTAAAACCCACTGTTCTGTTAGTACAAGGAGACAACACCCATATCCTAGTACTTTCAGTTACATGTGTGAGCGGGTATAGCATGCTTGGGACATAATAACTGCATGATGAATGTTAATTCATGGTTTTTTTTATACACACAATAAATGTGCATGAAAGGAACAAAGACTGGCTGGCGAGCTATAATGAGATTCAAAGTGCCAGGAGCCTGTACTAGCTATTAAGGGAAAGAAGAAGAACATTCTCACCAAACACAAGTTAGAATACTGACTAACAGTAAAAGGCTGGGGACAAAAACTACAATACAAAACAACCGGAAAATAATTTTACTTCTAAACTTCTCACCAAACAAGAAAAGGAGAGATCTGGCTATTGTCACAAAAATCAGTAAAATTTTCCACTTTTCACATTAAACATTACTAACGTTTTGTATACACTTTGAAACAAATGTTCTCTTTAAAGCAGCCCTCCACCGAAGTAATTAAAAGACACAATTAGAAAATTCCTTGTAAGTATCTATATTGTCAGTATGTAGAAGGACCCTACAAGGAGGTACTCCATAATGTTGCTATCCTTCAGTCATTTCACAGGAGCAGAATACAGGTTCTCAGATCTATGACAAGACAACAGAAAATGAAAATCTAGCATTATCACAAACCATAATCGAATTCTGTTGAGTTCAGTCTGCTAGCTCTTAAAAGCCTGTAATTTTCATGTAAAAGATTATTTGAAATTATGCAAACAATGTATAACTTACATCAATCTTGGATGTTTTGGCAAATGCTCCCACTGGATGTACGTGGTCGTACAGGATTATGACTCCCACCATTACCCGCAAGCAGAATGACACTGTCTCTTCATTGGTAAATCTGCTTCTGTATTCCCTGGAGGACAGAACACATGAAAACGTCACAAAGCTCTTTCATGAGCTGATTCCACTTTCAGTTGCTATCTACCTAACCTTTCCAACTCTAAAAGCAATGTTAACATTACGCCCCTTTCTCTACCCTAAGGTCCCCAATGTGATGAGAGGGTGGAGGCGGAGCAGTTATCATCCACATATTCTGCTCCCTAGAGACCTGCCCCCCCCCGCCCACCCCCGGTATATTACCCCTTCAGCTTGACAGAGAGCACATCAGTAAAAGTTGCCCATAATATGATGAAATGTCACTAGCTTTACAGATCAAGTAGGTTTGATATTTGAGGTGCTAGGTTGGCCCAAACAATTATTCTATTGTTTCATTTAAATTTTACAAAATTCAGCCATACTCTTCTTTCATTTGGGAAAAAGAAAAGTGAACTTTTATATATGTAGAAAGCAGTGTGGCAGCATAGTGGAAGGGGCCCAGATCAGGGCGAAGACATCCTGACACATGAGTAGGGTTGGCCCTGTGTGCAAGGCCCTACACTTCACAGGACCTCATTCTCTTGCTCAACCAGAATAATGACAACCACTCTCCCACTTCATGAGGTTTTTCCATAGAGAAGAGTACTTAGATAATAAAAAGTACCACAAAAACACAAGTTACCACACATTATTGAGGAATCCACGAGGGATTCTCTGCTTAGTGACAGCAAAATCTAGCTAACACACATGGTAGAAAACAACACAAATACTTTAAGAGAGAGAAAAGATACTCAGAAGAGAATTCAGGTTCATGTGGAAAAATGAAGAAACTAAGTAAGAGAGGGATAAACAAACAACTCTAGTCTTTGGCTAAATGGTAATGTTCTTTACTAAAACTGGGAGAAAGACATTATAGTAATTAGCATAACTAAGTATCTTCTCTAATCCTTTCCCTGAACAAAAGACTATCATAAAATTCCTGTTCTGAAGAGGCTATTGAATTAGTTTCTCTGGTCTGATGTACCTGTAAACCATCTCTATGCTTAACCAGACATTCACTGCAAAAATTATTTGAATTTTGTTTTTATGTGCTTATTCAATAGTTAAGATATATTTAATCTCCACCTTCTAAATAGCCATGTTTATATTTGGGCGTTCTGAAATACCGATTTATCTCAATGGTACCAGTAAAATGACAAGTCAGCTTTATAATACTCACGGCGTTTCCAGCATGACTCTGCATACACTAGCCATGGTGCTTAAACAGTCAGTGGTATTTTCTATTGGTAAGTTTTTATTCTGTAAGTACATGGAGGATGAAAAAAAGTGGCAAAATTATTAACATTAAAGATCAGCATACTATGAAAAGTTAGTACCTTTATAATTTGTCTCTTAATTTTCTAAATAATTCCCTAGATTCTAAGCACTGTCCTGAGCTTGAGGGACATAGTTATGCGCAGAACAGCCAAGTCTTGATGTCCCGAGAAGTGCCGCCATGCCAGCACTGTGAGAATAGGGATGTTGTGAGCATACAGGGCAGAGACACAGGAAATCACCAGCAAGGTTTTAAGCAGAGCAGGGAGGCAATGTGGATTATGTGTTAACATTACCTGGCTGCTCTACAGAGACAGAACTACACAAGGGGCAAGAGTGGAAGAAGCAGAACAGAGCGTAAGTGCAATGATCCAGATGAGAGGGCAGTGCTCTGACACGGACAGGTAGTGAGAGCAGAGGCTCAACTTACAGATTCACAGTAGCCTCACGTGGATGGATAGTTAAGAGTTGAGGTTCAGTTTTCAGACTCACAGTATTTTTTTGGAAGGAAACCAAATACAACATTCAATGATGGAGATACAAGGAAGTGAGGAAAGAAATTTAAAATGATAACCCCTGAATTGTTTGTTTTGCTTATACTCTGTTAATATTAAAACCCAGAAAAGAAGACAGGAGAAACAACAGGGTTGGGAGAGGCAACCAAAAGCCCAGTTAGGCCACGCATGTAATGCACTGTCAACTTTATCACTGGAGAGAAAATGCCATAGGTACACAGACGTGCGCTGGGCGCTCGATGGAAGGCCAGGATTCACAGTCTGCATCTGGGCACACAGCTTGCAGGCGAGATTCGAAGTGCTGGGCTATGCAGAGGTCGTCCTCCAGAACCAGCGGGAGCGCAGCAATGCAAATCCAAACCTGCGAGGCGGCACTTACCTCGGATACAAACTTTGTTGTAGCGTCACTTAAGGTTTTCAGCATCGGGGTTGCCTCAGCGTAAAATAAAGACATTCGATTTGCTAATTCATTATTCACTTCATTTTCTCCTTCTGCCTGTGTGGAAGCAGAGTACAAGTGCCAGATATCAGCCCAGCAATTACTAAATATGGTACTTACATTTACAAATGGACCATGAGAGTAGTTACATCATTAATGCTTATTAATCTAATCCAAAAAAACTTAATAAATTCAATTTTGGGCCTTCATTTGCACATAAGTATTCTTTAAAAATAAAGACATTACAAATGATAGTTAGCAATTTTTTAAAGATTAATACTTTAAAATGTACAGAACATTTTAAATGCTATTACAGAATTAAATAAAATCTTGGAAGATTTCCTACTATCTGTAAGAGACTGCTCTAAATGTGATAAAGGAAGGAGAGAGGATCAGGACACTGAATCCCACCCTCCACCATGAATGCACCAGGGTTCTACACAGCACCACAGAGAAATGTTAACAGACAATGACAGAAAAGGGAATGAGAAAAAGATTAAATTACACTAGAAGAAACTAGGGTCTCGTGGAAGAATTAAGCTTGCAAAGGTGATGATGGACACATGAACAAGCTACTCCTATCCAGCAGGTAAAAAAATAATTTCAAATGACTCCAGAGACCACATTTCAGTGTTAACAGCGGGGAGGGAATCACCAAAGATTAAGACAGGGACAGACTGCAGAATGCCTTCAAATGCTACTTCTAGTTTATATTTTCTTCCAAATGGAATGGCGAGCCACTTGAAGTGTTAGAAAATGGGAGTAACAAATCCATTTTCTAAGAAAAGTAGCTCATAATGGTAGGAAGACTACTACAAAGAAAAAAAGATTACAGGTAGTATAAATAAGCCATGGTGCTGCAGAATGACTGTCCCAAAATCTAGAATTGGGCTCACAACTGTGATAGAAATAGAATAAAAAAGGAAGGTAGAGAAAAAAATATGAAAGGTGCCTCACTGGAAAACTATTGGCAATATCTGCAATTACTGTCTTTGGATGACAGTACAAAAATATCTTCTTTTGCTGGCCTCTGAGTCATGGCTATACTAAAATTTGGGTATTTTATTTTTATTTTACATTGTAGATATTTATGAGACAGATAAGGAGGTCAGCTCCACAGGGTCCTCATAAAACCAAATGGAAGAAAACAACAAATGCCTCAAGGAAAACAATGACTTCCAATCTAGTTCTTTGTCTTAAGTATAACCACTTTCTAAGTATATCTGCAATGAAAATGAAAGGCTCCTTTAGAAATTTTTTTGACTTGCATGCTTCTAACCACTCCACATACAAGTATTTCTCTATTAAACTACCAATGGAGACTACGTTTGGGTTTTGAAATTTTGCCACTTTTCTTACCAATTAGCAAATGAGGGTCCTAAAAATACACAGGCAAATTCAGGTGTTCCTTATATTTAAAGTTGTACTTCTAGCACTAAACTCCTTAGAAGTAGGGACGAGTACTTAAGAGGAATTTAAGAGGATGGCAAGAGATTAATGGGCCTGAAGTAATCAGGAGAGAAGCTGTGCTATCCCAGGAATAGGCATGCCTTTTTCTTTGAGCCATAAACAGGCACAGATGTGCGAACAGTCCAGGACTTCACTCTCTTCTCTTGACAGTATCAGTCACTTTTCTTATTCAAGGTTAGTATCTCTTCAGGACTGCATAATTCTAAGAATATGAGGACAAAAAAAATCCTCATAACCACTAACTGAAAAACTTTTTGCATAATTAAAATGAGAATACACAAAAAGGTTATAGTATGAATGTCACACACAGAAAAAGCAATCCTATTGAGAAAGCCATGGGAACTTAAAAAGACTGACACAAAAAACATCTAAACACCACATGGTCTGTTACAGTCTTCTCCTTCCTCCCACAGCTCTGGATGTCTCTAATTGCTCACTTTAATACTAGCTTAAACATCTGAATGAATGGGTGAAGGAATAAACAAAGGAAAGAATAAAACAAAGAAAGAGTAATTCTTACCACCCCCCTAATTCAAGGCACTAACTTACTGGCACATTATTAATCCTCATTCGACTCAACGTTCTTCTGTAGTAGCTGAAATCATTCTGTATGGCAGGATTTGTCATCTAAGGAAGATATTTATGAAGTAAAAATGTATTATAAGCCAAAAGCTAATGTAAGAAGTTAAAAAGTCTATAGTTTTAAATAATTATGTAATACTCTCTATTTTTAAAGTTATTTTAAATATAAATTGGTTTAAACAAATAAAAATTCTCTATCCTCTAAGAAAGCTTAAAACACTGTACTGACTTATTCCTGAGCAGGTAAAAATCATACAGGTTGTTTTCCAGTCATGGGCAGTATACTTTCTTGTCAATATTTTCAGGTAATACAAAATACCTTATTTACCAAGAAAATGGGTACTATCAAACAAAACTAAGAAGGATTATGTAGGCATTTGTTTTGAGTTAAAGTGTGCATGTCTGTACATTAAATGAACAGGGAAATCGTCAAGCAGACAAAATTTTGTAAGAACATCTTTTGTACTCCAAGTATTAAAGAGAACTAGCTGTCTGTGATACAACCATGAAATGTCAGTTAGGAATCTAGCTCTTCCATTTTCCAGACTATGTCCTTAAATCCCTGAAAAAAATCAAAGGACATGCTCAAGGTCCTATAATGACTACGCTAGAGCCTAACCTGAAGTTCTGTACCTTGAGGAGCAAGACAAGAGGAGAAAGGATGCTCGTGGCAGTGGAGGGGAGGAGAGAGGGCAAAAGACATTTCGAAATGTTTTATGTAAAAGATGTTGAAAAAAACAGGAATGAACAGAAAAGAAAAAGACAAGAAAAGCTCCACTTATTGTTTCTGTGATTCTAAAAATGAAGATCAACTACCAGGTGATCTGCTATCTGCCATATGCTCAGAAAGGCTCCTACTCTCAAACTCAGCTTTCTACTTTTCCTAATGTGTAGGGGACACCATCTGAATACACCTTAACAAGGTCTGCAGGCCTTTCCTCCTAGTGTCCCTTGCAACATATGATTTTCAAACAATAGGGGCCAGCACAAAATTCTACCTTGAGTTCATCAAAGCGGAGGGTGAAGTGAAGAATTTCTGCGAACTGTTTAGCAAGAGCCTGCTCTCGCTCTAGATGCTGGGTGGGTGAATATG